AGTATTTTAGTTTTGAATAACACTGGATTTTATAAATCTTAAAGAATTGACTTTAACTCCACCATTGAATAACACCAAACTTTTAAAATCTAATGAAATATAAGATCTAATAACACCAGATTTTAACGTTAGATTAATAATCATTAGTAGAATAACACTGGATTAGTGTTGGATTTCAATTCTATTAAAATCCATCATTAAATAACACCACCTAAGTCATTTCAAATGAAATCTCTTTGAAGTTTCATGAGTAAATTATTAGAATCAAAATCCAAGATATAGTGCAGAGATTTTGAAATCCACACAAACAGATTCTTAAAACCAATATCAGAAAACAAATCTAAACCTTAAAGAATTGACTTTAACTCCACCATTGAATAACACCCCCTTAGTATTTAGGGTTTAGCTTTGAAGGTTAAAAGTTTAATTTTAGTTTTGTAGTTTTTTGGGAAAACCAGAAATTAAGTGGTATTTTGGAATATTAAACTAACAATAATAGTTTTGGAAAACCAGAACTTAAGTATTGAGAATTGTCCTATATTTTTCATTCGACATATTTTTTGTGTTAAACAATTTTACTTTTCAAAGAAACTATGTAAAAGTGAAAGTAAAGAGACATATAGTTGACTTAATATGTTAATAGAGATATATATTTTTTAGGTGGTGGTAAAGATCATATTTCAACTTTAAAAATATGATTGAGTGTAACAAAATACATTTTGAGTGGTAAACTTTTAAATTTGTAAATACATGTAAATAAAATAAAGTTTTGATAGGTGGTTTATATGTAAAATATTTTCCGAAGAAGTTGCGGAATCATATCTTAGGCAAAATTGCAAAATCACATTTTTTGAGATTTGATAATAATAATAATGATGATGAATATTTTGGCAAAATTTTTGGTGATTGGTAATTAAAATTTACTTGATTATCATAATAAATATATCAACAAATTTAAAATATATAAATGAAAATAAGTGTATTAACGCAAAAAGATGAATCTATATCTTCTTATTTTTTAAATATAGTATCTGTTTAAATTAAAAATTTAATATATTTTTGTTAAATTTAATTTTATTTGAAAAATTTTAAACCCGCACATCGGACGGGTCCTAATCTAGTAACATATAAAACCATGGGAAAGATAATTTTCACTTGGCTCTAACCTTCACTTGATGTTGAACCAACTTTTGCCATATACATCAACCAAACTAGTGTAGTAACTAAAATAATATTATTTTAATTTTAACTAATATTAATTAAAATAATATTAATATATAATTTAAAATCATGCATAATGGAACTTTTACGATTAGAAATCATTGATTTCAAATATCTTTAGATATTCTCGATTATTTAATCAAATTCCAAATAATTACTCTAAATTAAGTTAATTAACTATGTTTCCTTACCTAATATATTTTTGGTTATGATTTTAAAGATAGAAGGCAACTATTTATTAAAAAACACTGTAATTCATATATTTCTCCTTCCTAATATTCATAAAATCGATTTTAGAGAAACAAATTGTACTACTCTTTAAAACCACATCGTAGCATATTCCTAAACAATAAACGATTACAAAGACTTTATTCCAATTTTGTTATGGTATCAAATATATTATGTTTGGCTACCAAGAGATTTGTGATCTAACTTAGGCGACTATAAATACTTTAGGTCTTCTCACATCATCAAACCCACATACCACCAAAACTCTTATCCTTTTGCTTCTTCTCTGCACAACTTGCATATAATCATCAAACACAAAACACCTACCACCAAAAACGTTGTACTAGACCATCAACTACTGGAATCGAAGCAACGAAAGAGTTTGAGTAACCAAACCTCTTTGGGAGAAGTAGATTCAGTCTCTTAATCTTGGTTTTTTTTTCTCTATAGTAATCAATTTTTGAATCTCTAATTAACTACAGCAAACGCAAGTCACGTCAAATAAATTGTTAGGCCGTAAAAAGATATATGATTGTTGTAATGGTAACCTTTTATTACCGATGTGAATTATTTCCTTTTTTTTATATATATTTGTGTGAGTGATTTCTGTTTTTGATAATAGTAGGGATTGATCCGCTGTACACCGCGAGATGATTTGTTTTATAAAAATCGCAACGTAAAAAATTGGATGATTACATATAGATATAGACGATTGAAATTATGTATTTTTTTAATACATTTATATTATATATTATATCTTTTACGATAAAGATGTTTTACGATTTATTTTTAAAAAAATATAGCTATGAAAACATACATTTCATTAACGGTGTATGGCGGGTGTAAATTTGTAGATGTTTTATATGTCAATCTAAAATAATATTCTTCCAATTTTGTAGTTATTTATTTGTATGTAAACAGTAAGATTTTTATAAAACAAATCGTTCTGCAGTGTACCACGGATCAATTCCTAATTACCTATTATGACTATAAAGTTTTCTGACTAATTGACGCCTGATTAAATTTAATAGTAACTCTCTTAACAGTATCCGTGAGACCAACTATCCGGGATCCGCTCCGATCTGCTCCGAAAAACAGGATATCCGGATGGGGCGGATCCGGATCTGGATAATGAAAAACAGATCCGACCGGATCCGGATCTGGATAATAGAAACTTTAAAGCCGGATATCCGGATCCGGGATATTTTATATAATAATAATATTTTTAATACTTTATTACTATTATTTAAATTTTATTAATAATTTTTATTATTTTATATAATAATAATATTATTTTATAATATTTTAATTATTTATATTAAATTATTTGTTTTTGAGATATTTTTCTTCAAATTTTACATTAATAAAAAAAATTGTATAAAAAAACCTGAATCCGGATATCCGGCTATTTTTACGGATATCTTAAACCCGGATATCTGAGTAGAACGGATCCGGATCCAGATACCTTAAGAAAGCCGGATATCCGGATCCGGGCCAGGCCTACTTAACAGTACTAGATTGTAGCTTTAAATTTTATAACAACGCCAATCTTAATAGCAATTTAGTCTCGTTTTTCCGGTTTGGTATCGTCGGAATTTTCGATCCGTTTGTAAGCCCATTTTCTTTAAGTCCATTTGGGGGTACGAGGCAAAGCCCAAGGCAGAAGTGGTTTTAATTTTGGAAAGAAAAAAAAAATGGTTGAAGATTAGGAGGTGAATTAGAGAGAGGCAAAGGCATACACACTTATTATTATTATTAGTCGGCATTTAAATCAACGATTTATTAGTTAATAATATTAATACACTAACTTGCACACACTCTACAAATCTGAAATCACAAGTCTCTCTCTCATCATCTTCTGCGAGATCTGATCGTATCAATGGAGATCTTCTACTTCGTGGTGTTCGGTGGGTTGGCTGCGATCGTCGCCGGCTTGGAGCTGAGCAAATCGAACAAAGACCGCATTAACACCTCCTCCGCCTTCAACTCCTTCAAGAACAACTATCTCCTCGTCTACTCTCTCATGATGGGTGAGTGTTCTCGATCCAATCGATTTTGTTGTTATTTGTCGGTGGAACTAGATCGGACCGGAATGAATGAATGAATGTTGCTCTCTCTCGAATGACTTTATTGATTTTGGTCTCTCTCCAGCTGGGGACTGGTTGCAGGGTCCCTATGTGTACTATCTCTATAGCACTTATGGCTTCGGCAAGGGGGAGATCGGTCAGCTCTTTATTGCTGGTTTCGGATCTTCCATGTTGTTTGGCACCATTGTTGGATCTCTTGCCGACAAACAGTCAGCGCATTTCTTCTTCTTCTTCTTCTTCTCCATTTTATTATACTATTGGATCTTCTTCTGATCTCTAACTTCCTTAGGGGTCGCAAGCGAGCTTCTATCACCTACTGCATTACCTACATTCTCAGCTGTATCACCAAACATTCTCCCCAGTACAAAGTTTTGATGGTCGGTCGTGTTCTTGGTGGTATCGCTACTTCTCTCCTTTTCTCTGCCTTCGAATCCTGGCTTGTCGCTGAGCACAACAAGAGAGGCTTCGAGCAGCAGTGGCTCTCTCTCACTTTCTCCAAGGCTATCTTCCTCGGTAATGGATTAGTCGCCATCATTGCTGGCCTCTTTGGCAATTTCCTTGTCGATTCTCTCGCCCTTGGTCCTGTTGCTCCTTTCGATGCTGCTGCTTGCTTCCTTGCTATTGGTATGGCCGTTATTATTTCATCTTGGTCCGAAAACTATGGTGATCCCTCTGAAAACAAAGACCTTCTTACCCAGTTCAAGAACGCTGCATCTGCCATTGCTTCTGGTCAATCTCTTACCTTGCCTTGCTTTTGACAAAATCAATATATGTCTTTGCTTCTAGCTTTATTCCACTAACCACTTTTTTTATTTAATCAGATGAGAAGATCGCATTGCTTGGTGCCATACAGTCTCTCTTCGAAGGCTCCATGTACACCTTTGTGTTTCTCTGGACTCCTGCTTTGAGCCCAAACGAAGAGGACATTCCACATGGTTTCATTTTTGCAACATTCATGCTGGCTTCCATGCTTGGTAGCTCCATTGCCTCTCGTTTGTTGGCACATTCGGCTCCAAAAGTAGAGAGCTATATGCAGATCGTATTTGTGATTTCTTCTACAGCTCTAATGCTTCCTGTTGTAACAAGCGTATGCTCTCTGTCTTCATATCTCTCACTATTTACTTTCCATATTCAAGGATTATTACCGATATAATAATAACTTCTCGATTTCCATATTGGAACAGTTCTTGGTGGCGCCCTCAGGTGTAAAAGGTGGAAGCATATCATTCTCTGGATGCATTCAGTTAATGGGTTTCTGCACTTTTGAAGCGTGTGTAGGAATCTTCTGGCCATCTATAATGAAGATGAGATCGCAATACATTCCAGAGGAAGCTAGAAGCACCATCATGAATTTTTTCCGCATCCCACTCAACATCTTTGTCTGCCTTGTATTGTACAATGTGAGTTTTCCTGTTCTCTTTTTATTCAGACTTCTTCGAGGCAGTGGTGTTAGTATCATTGCTAATAAGGAACGTTATGTTCTGAAAACAATTTTTTACATGTCTCTAGCTTTTGGGTAAATATATGGCTCGGCCTACTGAGCGTAGCTAGATTTCATTTCATTCATAATTATTTAGAACGGAGTTACCTGCCCCTTAGATACTTAGACAATCTAAAAGTTATTCATTCAATATCCATCATATAGGTTCAACCATATATAAGGAGTACTATCTAAAGCTAGCCCTTAGATACTTAGTGTACAATCTACAAGTTATTAATTCAATATCTATCATCTGGATTCTTCGTTTGGATGTAAACCTGTATAGGAAAAGATGCACTGCCATGGACCTAACGAGCTTTTCTGATCTTTGTATGCTAAAGGTTGACGCGTTTCCAATGACCGTGATGTTTGGAATGTGCTCTGTATTCCTTTTTGTGGCCTCTATATTGCAGAGGAGGTTGATGAATGTAGCCGAGATCCACAAGTCAAGTAAGTCTTCTGACATTACTCACGAAATGCTTTAAAGGAAAGTAAAAATCATGTGGTACACACGCTTGATTGGGTTGTAGAAGGTATAACTAGTGGACTTGGGGACATTCTATCATGGAAATAAGAAATGCTCCCAAGAAATTCATGCATGAATTTCTAACTGATGAACATTGCATTTGATCTGTATCATGCTTGTAGATTCGTTTATCAGACTTGCGTGCATTTCTATCAAACATTGGAACCGTTATATGTTCATATCTAACAGCTTCATTGATCTGATCAATAATCGTGGACCGGTGATTCTAGTGTATCTTTTATTACTATTGCAGGATCACAAGAGTGGTCAGCAGAAAAGGAGATGACCTCAGAAGCTGACCCCCTAAACCCATAATAACCAAACCTCTCATGACATAAAAAAAAGAGGAAACGCCGTTCCGTCTTCTCTTGATGATTTTTCTACTTGTCTTAATACGTTCGTTGGTCATAAAGTCTTTCCACTTGTTTAGTTATATTTGGATTTTGTGCCTTCACCAGATGTAGCAAACACCCTAATACCTCTGCACGTCAGCTTATTTGGGCTCTGGCCACTATTCTTCTTAAATCTTTCAACTTTCTTTTGTGCCTCAAAAACAATCTTTATAAGTCACGATATTGGCCCTGAACCATAGAAATGCAGATTCATTAGTGCTGTTTTAAAGGAAGCTCAATCTCTTTGCAATTCTGAATTTAGGCAATAAATGTCTCTGTTTGAATGTGGCAATAGTCAGTCATAAACTAATACACTTAAACACATGAATGAATCTAACGTTATTCTTAACTGGTGGTGGCCATGTGAAACAATCAGTACACAAGCAGACATTATATAATTGCAAATGAATAGCGATTAGACCCATTTATGTATTGATACGATGCGACATTGCCCACTTGAGGCCATGTGCCCCATCTTCAGTCAGGGGTACAACCGTCATTCCACCTCATTTGCTTCACCAATTTATATAAGCTTTGCTTTTCAGGAGATCTGAGAAGCAAAGTACACCACCAATAATCAAGCAAGATGGGAGTCATGAGTTTGAGCAGCACGATGATGGTGTTATTACAGGTGATGATATTGTTAGGACAAGAGATTGGTACAGTGTCGTCGACTCTATACAAAGTTGGGGACTTGGACGCTTGGGGTATCCCAATTGATGCTAAAGTCTACACCAAATGGCCCAAATCTCACTCTTTCAAGATCGGTGACTCCCTCTGTAAGTCAAAATACTCAACTCTTCTACTTACAATTTCAAATCCCCCTCTAAAATCTAAATCATTGGAAACCAAAACAGTGTTCTTGTACCCACCAAGCGAAGACTCACTGATTCAAGTGACGCCCTCCAATTTCAAAAGCTGCAACACCAAAGACCCAATCTTGTACATGAACGACGGCAACTCTCTCTTCAACCTCACCCAAAATGGTACCCTATACTTCACAAGTGCAAATCCCGGCCACTGTACCAAGTACCAGAAGCTCCTCGTATCCGTCGGCACTTACTCCGCCGAAGCAGAAGCCTTGTCTCCGTCGTCTGCCGCCGACGGTCCCTCGTACCAAAACGCCTTCGGGTCTATTCCTCTCTCTCAGAAATCGTCGGCTACCTCCTCGCTCATTTCAGCTTTCTCCACTGTCGCTGCTTCGCTGGCTTGCGCTGTCGTCGGTGCAATCATGTGAAAATGGAATTTTGAATATCTTTATTTTATTTTTGAATAACTTTTTGTTTTTTGTTTTGTTTTGTTATGATCTCTTAATTATTTATTCTTCTTCATCGGCTCCGATCCTTTTATATCTCGACAATGAATATGCCAATTTTCTAAACTAGCAACAGATATATTCACACAATCCATATAGTTCTAAATTTTGAATTAGCAGCAGGAATTATTAATCGTTATTAACATCATATACATTTCATTCTTTCAATCTGTGATTCCTGATGCAATGCAATATGCATATTGCATAACCAAAAGCGACGGGAAATGAAGAAAAAAGGCAGTGAAACAAACCAAAAAAAGGCAGAGCAAATCCCAAAACTGTGGCTACGTCAAATGAAATGAAGGAATCATCAACTCAGCTTCATCCACTTCCGTTTAGCCTTCTCTATAGCTTCCTCTTTCAGCTTCAGCAGTCGTTGACAAGATTGCTTATATTGCGACTCTATCACATTCAGCTCCGCCTTCAGATCATCCGACTGCTTGTTTGACACCATTGAGCATGAATCCAGAAACGAGGACAACAAAGACTCTACTGCCTCGCAGCAGCAGCCGAGCCCTGAACCCTCGTTTGAGGAGACCCGATGGTAGTAGTCTGCTGATATGTCTGACTTCATTGATTCTCCAGCTTCTTCATCCTTCGACTGATATAAACTGTTTGCATCATAAGGCAGGCTTCGATTAGCCTTCAGCTTCATTATCAGTTCATCTATCATCTCAGCTATCACAATAACCTCTTGACTTGACAGATCAAGCTCTTCAACCATCTCCCCTGTAACTGCTCTTGCTGTGTCTGTCTTCAGATTGAAGTCAAAATCGACTTTTCTTGCTTGACCTGTTACAAAAATTTCTTGTGTAATTAAGCCATTCCAAAATATGCAAGAGAAGAGAACAAAAAAAAGTGGCCTTAAGATATCGTAAGACAGACCAGATGAGCCCGCGATACGCAGAGCCATTGATGCTGCCACATCATCTCTCCTCTCTCCACTCAACCTGAATTCGGTATTTTCAGCAACCCTCTGGACTTCAATGGTCTGGAGCCATGCACATTCTTGGCTGCTTTTAGCAGAGGAGCAGATGGAAACACTTGTATTCTCCTTATGATCAACATCCATACGACGATATTCAGAGTGTGGTGGCTTTGCAGGTTTGAATGTTGTGTTTGATGAAGCAGCAAGAGTGGAGTCCTTGGCGCCATCTACTGCAAGGAGTTGGTCCTTCAGGAGCTCTAGAGCAGTTGGTCTAGAAGGAGCTGGGAGAAGACACTTCTCTATGAATTGCTTAACTTGAGGATCATCAACTTTGCTGAGAGATTGAGGTTTTATACCCTGCAAATGCAACAGTTCAAAGAAGAGTCCCGTGTGGAAGAGAAATGTAAGACTTATATATCACATTAGACTTACCGAGGTAACCTTCTTGTATATTTGAGCCTGGTTTCTGCATTCATTATATGGATATTCACATGTTACCATCTCCAACATGCACATGCCAAAAGAATAGATGTCCACAAGTTCATTGTATTCTTCTTCATAGAGCTCAGGCGCCATGAATTCAGGAGTACCTGAACAACATACCCAATATATTCAGTTCTAATAGAGGTTTCCTCGATCCAACAATAGTTAAAGAGGTCTGATAGTATTATTACCTATCACACTTCGAGCAGTGGGTTGTTGCATAACAGCTGCAAGGCCAAGATCTCCGATTTTGACCTCTCCGGTATGTCCGTTGACAAAAATATTGTCACACTTAAGGTCCCGGTGAATTACAGGAGGGGTCTGAGAATGCAAAAAGTGGAGGCCTTAAAGAATCTGCCTTGCCCAGTTGATGATGGCCTTGGGATCAACTATGGGGTGCTTCTTACGATAACTTTGCACCAAGAGAAATGACAATCAATGGAAAGACAGAGATAAGAGATATATTAAGAGAGAGAAAATGAAAAGAGAAGAAGAGAGGAGTGAGGAGACATACAGGCTGAGACTACCAGAGGTGAAAAGCTCAGTGATCATGTTGATGGACTTGTTATGATCATCAACCCAAGAGTAGAAGAGTTTGATGATGTTATCATGTTTAAGGGAATTGAGGAGATGGACTTGGGAATATAGCCTATCAAGTTGGCCAGGCATCTGCAAGACATCTTCAATGCTCATGAGGTTCCAAGCAACTTCAATACCTTGGACTTCATCAAATGCCTTATATCTGATTTTAACAACAACAAGAGATGAGAAAAACAACTTAAAAGCAAAAAGAGTTACATAGCATTGCATTTAAAAAAACATACACAGTTTTGAAGGCCCCTCTGCCGAGAACGTCATTATACTGAAGAAAGAAACAAGATAAAAGAATGATCACTGGTTGGAAAGTTTCCAGGAGAAGAAGCAAAGGAAGTATAGGGGTGGGTTCAAAACAAGCAACAGTCATGGCTGGAACAACAAAGGCCATTAACGTAGCTTATAAAGCTTGTAAGGAAATAGTCTAAATTCCATGGAAATTGCAGATAGAGCGTACCCTAACGTAGCGACCAGAGGGATCTTTGTGGACCAAGTCAGCCTCGTCCATGGCAGATATTCTAACCTAATAATAATATCTAATCCGGAACAAGGAGGGATGGTTGGTAGAGGGGGTTACAGGGTGAGGAGGAGGTGGAAGGAGATTGGATCGGAGAAGGCCTCACGGGCGAAGCAGTAGGAGTCGATATCGCCGATCGGAACCGACATCGGGAACAGAGGAGTGTGGCGGCCATCTCCCAGACGATGACGGTGCTGAGGTGCCTCTGCGTCGTCTCTCATTGTTGGATACAAGAAGAAGAAGAAGAGCATCTCCTCCTCCATTCATCAACCATCCACCATTCCGATGAAGAAGCTTCAATTTCGCCACCAATTTCCCAAATCAAATATCAAATTTCTCGAAACCCTAAAACAGATGAGAGGATTGTTTGTTGTTTTTATTTTTATTTATATACTCTCCTCTCTGTCTCCCCTAACGGGAATCTATTTTCTGATTCCACCCAATACGGTGTCGTTACGCGGCTTTCTTTGTCTTACTCAATGTTTAAAGCCCATACAATCTTCTTTCATGTAAAATTAAATGGGGAACAACTACACTATCAACAGATTCTTGTCTTGTTGTAACCATGCATGTTTGTAACAAGAAAACAAAACAAAAAAAGAAAATCAAAGTGGTAGGTATACTATACTATACTATAATAATAATAATAAATCATCATGTTTGGTGTCGTGATGTTGAAAGAGCTCAACAAGTGAGTACAAGACTTGAATCCTTGTCACTTGTGGCTTTGCCTCTACGATGAACTGTGCCCATGTTTGCCCTTTTCTTCTTTCCATCACTCCTTTCACTATCTTCAATCCCAATCCTCTCACCACGTCTCCTATCTCCAGAAACTCATCTCTTTCATCACACACCATCTCTATCTGCATTTCTCCTTTCCTGTTCAGTTCCTCCACCATTATCGGACATACCACTCCTCCTTCCCCCACTTCCAACGCCCATGTTCTCTCTTTCTCCTTCACCAGCTGATATAAATATCTTTCGCTCATCAATAAACAAAGACTTGTGTTTTTGATTCATCATTACTTACTACTGATCGATATATTACCTTAGGCTCGTATGGTTCTTTGAGTCTGTCCGCGTACTTGGCGATGCTTTGCATGAACACCATGTGTTTTATGGTCAGATCAAGCAACGTATCTATGCTACACTGTTTATCAAAACTTATTAGAGAATGCATTTGCTAATCCCTAAATAATTTGGATGCCAACTATATATATATTACTACTAATTACCTTAGCTCCATTTGGAATCATCCCTCGCAGCTCCTTGATACGGTCTTGTATCATCTGACGGTCCTTAGGCCTCGGCCTCCTGCTTTCTCCTGCCTTTGCTCTTTTCTTCTTCACACCTTCTTCGTGAGGCTTCTTCCAATTCCCTCCAACGCTCGATCTCTCATCATCATTCCACAAACTCCGACCATTTACTGTCTCCTCCTGCGGAAACAAGCTTGAGCTATGCTCTGATGATGTTTCAAGCTTCCGTCTTTTGCTCTGGTTCACGCCAGAATAGTCTTGCACGTTTGTGAGAGAACTACTACAAGTGTTGTTGCTAAGACTACTGCTTATGAGCTCTGAGAAGAGTCCTTTAGGCGGCAAAGCCATTGTAGGCGTTTGAGGATTCATCCCCAAAATGTCGAAAAGATCCTTGTCATCTCCTTGGATCACCATGGAAGAGCAGTTCTGTTCAGGGGAATCAGCTAGCAGCTGGTAAAGATCGTCCAGAGAGTAAGACTCGAGAATGTCGAACCCAAAATCATCTCCATTGCTAAGATCTTGGTGGGAAGAAGCTGCTTCAGAGGTTTCAACAGAGATCATCTCAGGGCTGAGCAAAGAAGGAGGATTGTCGTCAGCGAAGATGTCGTCAAAGCTGAATCCTTGGAAAGATTCAGCTGGGAAAATCTCGCAATCTCCCAGTGGGACTAAAGACTCGAACAGAGTATCGAGATCCCCCGAATCATCTGGTTTGAAACACGTCTCCTGCAGAGCTCTTGTTGTTTGTTCCAATATCTCTGAGCTCTCAAGAATCTAAAGATTGATAGGTACATACAAACACAATAAGTAATTAGTCCATGACTTCCTTCCGCAGCAAGAAAATTGATTTTATCGTATCGAAAACATGTTATATATATTTGCAAACCTTTTGAGTAGATCCTAGCTGAACAACGCCGCTGGATCCTAGTGGAAGGATTGCTATAGTCTGTGTATAAGGAAACTGCCGAATAAGAATCTGATTCAAATGGATATATGAATCCTTAAACTTGGAGACGATACAAATATAAATTACCTTAAAGCCAGAGAGAAACTGATTCTGAAACTCATGGTCCCACTGCAAAACAATCAAACACATAAATATCAAATCTTTATTCTTCTTCATAAAATGTTGTATGTAGTAAATTTGGACATACATTAATTATGAGAAAATGAAACATCAAGGAAAAGAAGTGAAGAAGGAGAACAAACCTGAAACAATGCGTCTGAGAACAGCCATTGATGGTTACCGGTCGAAGCTACTTCGCCCACAATTCTAAATTCATCAAAAGAAAAGTATATACATAAACACAAACACAGAGACAGATAATATATATTTGAGTGAAGAGTAAAAGCGTACCCTTGGCCTAAGATATGAGCCTGTAGAATCATATCATCAACTAGGGCGACTGATTGTTCATCATTGTATGCTTCTTCAAATCTCAATAGCCTGAAATCATCCAAATGAACAAAACTAAATAACAACACTTATGGACACCAAAGTAGCCAAATCACATATAAAACCAGAGCAAATGCAATTCAGTCTTTTCCTAAATCAATGGGGAAACATGCATAAAAACCTTGGAATAAAAAAAAAGAGAGGAATTACATGGAATTGATGGGATCATAACGCCAAACCACAGCATAAGACCATTCATGGCTGAAACAGAGACTCTTCAATATCTGCTTAATTTCTGAACCCATAATTAGGAATCCAACCGGAAACGGGTCAAGTTTTAACAAAACTCGAGACGACCCCTTTTTTAATTTCTGCAGGATCTCGAACTCTTAAAAAGGACAACAACTTTTGTCTTCTCCAGAAACCAAAGATAAAGAAAAGCTGGAAACAGAAGAAAAATGTCGGTTTTGAGTTTCTCTTTTTTAATTATCTGCAGAAAGAAAGAACGAAAAAAACTGAGACACAGAGAAAATTCCTTTGTGTTTTACTTTTTGTTCAAGCAATTAAAAAGGAGGTAAGAGCTTGGTTCTTTCTATATTTATATATATAACCAAACAATAACATAAGCTATTTAAAAAACAGAAAATAAAATGTTTATATTAATATTGAAATGTCTGTAATTCGATAAGAAGTGGAAGAGCCTTTTTGTCTGAGGAAGACAAGTTTGATGAATTAAATAAAAATAAATATTATTATCTATTTGATTTGATTTGTCTGCCGGTGTCCAGTCACGCTTTTCCCCAGAAGTGACGTGAGTTACACCGGCTATTACCAGTTTAAGGAGAAGTTTGCTTTTATTACTATATATTTATTTGTTGTCTTTGAAATTTAATACGGGAGAGGATCTTCGAGGGTATAATTTCCATAAAGGGAGATTTTATTTTGATTTTACTTTTAGTAAGTATTCATTAAATACTCGATACGAATTTATGATATACTTTAATGTTCAATATATTTAGAAATGATTAACTAACAATTGATAAAAATTTCTATATTGGAAACTGGTGAGATGGAAAAATAAAATTAAATTTTGACAAAAAGAAAAAAAAAGGAAAAAAAAAAATTTTTTTAAAAAAAAACAAAATATTAAAACCAAAATAAATGAGGAGAATGTACAGAGAAAGATAATGGTGGGTGATGTGGGGTTTCTAGCGATCATCCTCTCGTATCGAATCATTTTAATTATTTGTACTAAACTACTAATTATTCACTTTCTTGGGCTTAACAACGACCACCCACTAATTTTTTTTTTGAACCCTCTAGTTGTTGTAGAAGGATTTTATTGTAAATATGCCATGAAGAAATTCATATCACAACGTTTTTGGTTGAAAAATACTATGGTTTAGAGTTCTAAAAAAAAAGAATGACCGCCTTTTAGTGTATGGGCCAATGAGGTTCCCAAACTATGTGTCACCTAAATCTTGAATGTTTGGTATGATAATCTTGACTTAAGTAGTTCTGATTCCACTTCGTCATATATATAAAGTCTTTTTTTTTTTTTTTTTTGCCAGCCATATTATATAAACAGTCTATCACAAATAACGTCAGCAGTTACATACATACATAAAATAACGTTCAAGAATAATACTATATTTTTTCTGGTTTTTTTATTCGATATTTAAAGATTTTGCACATTAATTAAAAAATTCTTTAATTTTTATTTATTTTTAATTAAAATATCATTTATTATCTAATTAACCAATAGAAAACCAATCTGTAAAATATAAATCGTCAAAACTAATAAAAAATTAATTAATATTGTATTAAAAAAAAACATCATCTAATTTAGAACAAAATTTTTTACCTAAAACATTAACTAAAAACATTTATATATATGCATCCATTAATAAGCCAGATATATATACATATCGTAAGAGATTTATTATACCTATATTCATAAAAATGTTTAGTTGTGGTCTTTTGTGGTACCAACCTAAAATAAGGCTATGATTTAGCCTTAAGTCTTGAGAGATACTATTTTTCCTCATAATAATTAAGCAGCATTTTGTCATGAAACCATGCATGTTTAATTGCAAGTTTTTGTAGAAGATCACAACTACTGGACTGAACGATTGAGAAAAGGAAGATAGAGGAAAGCAGAAGAAAGTAATTTGTTGGCAAACACTTAATCTAAGCAAGGAAAAATTTGTAGTTTTGTGCAAAGGGTCCTTAACTCCGTATATATTAAATGAATGTTAAGTAGAAATTGAACATTAGTTCATGAATAGTATTAAAAATTACTTGTTTTGTTACTTTATTTTAGCTATTTTTATGTACATGGTACTATTTTTTACATATGTTTTGAGGTTTCAATGGATTATTTGTGTATTATACTATATAAACTCTGATCTCTACTTCAAATATCTACTATGAAGACTATAAGACATATCATCATTCATCAACCTTTGAATTTCATAATATATCTATGGAAATACGATATCAATAGAATTTAGGGAACATCAAAGATATATATAGCAAACGTTAGAAACACATGCATCAATATTTGACAGCCATTTTCATAACTCGCAACATTCCACACAATACATGCGTAAGTGCCACACATACATCACTTTTTTTTTTCTTTTTTATCAACCAAAAATTTCTCAGCCTGAAGCTAATGTATCTATACTAGTATAATCGCAGCACTTTTTGTGACGGGTGGGTAAAAAAGCTTTCGGGTATATCGGATATCCGACCTATTTTAAAAATTCCTTCACAAAAAATTTGTTGGGTCGGGTTATATTTAACCCAACTCATACACCGGATATTCCATATTTAATAATTTAGATTTTTAGAAGATTTGATTAAGATTTATAATTATGATTCTCCTATCATCTTTGTTTGATTTGTTTTTAACTGTTTTGAATCATTATATAATACATAAAGTAAAAAACAAAAATCAATTTTTTTTCTGCATATACTGTGATTCGAAATTAAAAAAAAACGGACATATATTATCCAATTGACGAAAATGTGTGTTCAACGTTCTACATCGATTAAAATATTTAAACAATGATTCAGAATCATATCATAAATAAGAACATTAATAAAATAAATGAGTTTTTTTGGCGGGATGAGTTTGGCGGAACGGGTTTTTGAATCAACAATAATAAAAAGATTAAAATATCATTAATCCGCCGCTTCAATACGGATTTAATCCTTTTTTTTTTTAATACAAATCACAGGACGGGTTAAGAAACTACGGAACGGGTTATATTTCGGAAATGATTTATATGGCGGACGAATTTGAATCAATATTTATATACCGCTTTAATACGGGTTAAATCCTCAGTTTATTAATAATTATCTCGTGGACTCGTGGTATACCGTTACTTAATAACAATTGTAAACTATAATATAAATAAATATGTTATAAGGAGATACAATTTACAAAATATTTGTATACTAACTTTAAAATTAAATCATCCCCCGGTGTACCGCGGATTAAAATCTAGTAACACTTAAATGTATTTACTTTTTAGCTTATTGATAGTGGTAGAGAATATAAATAGATATATGTAAAAAGAAAAAAGAGAAATAAATAGATATCCACAAATCTCGAAATGGAAAGTGATTATAACTACAAATCAAATGAAGAAAAGACTCATCAATTTATTTTTTTGGTTTTATTAGGAATAGCCATAATTTGGTCTCTTATACTCATCACACGCTCAATCATGGCCGTTGAGAACAAAAGTCAACGGCATCAAGATTTTTCACCTTAATCCTTTTTCGTCTTTAATTGTTTTATTCTCACTTTTCATAACTTTCCGTTTTTATTACAATGGTGTCCGAAAGTGGTGAACTAAATCCAAAAGTGGGATTTTATGTTGTACACTTGCTTTTTGTTAGATAAACTATTTTAAAACTTGTCTTTAATATATAAGTAGAGACTAGAGAATAGATTTTCTTTCTAACGTAAAAATAAAAAATAAAAGAATTTATTTTCTTTATCGCTTAAGAGTAACTTTACCAAACAATCATTGGTCAACATATAAATGGACTAATGTAGTGTTGGATTCATAATTTTTATGGATAAATTTTTGAAATTATGAGTATTTTATTTATAATATACATTTAATCTTTGTTAGATTTGATAGTTTGTTTTTAGCTATGATAGTTGCAAATACATCCAAAAAAAATATATTAAAACTATCATATAATCCAGTAATCTTTGATCAAAATATTACGAACTTATATGTCAACCGCTAAAATTTCATCGTTGATAGCACACAAATTTTCAAAATCTTTTGCATTGACTCTCAATTTTGTTCAAAGAAATAGTTAATGCAAACTTTTGCTATATGAGATAATTTTGTGGTTATTAGTCTCCTTTGTTATTGTCCTAGATTGTATTTTTTTCTGTTCATCATCTATCAATTTATATGAGACCAATTTTTGTTAGCCCTAGTCTGCATAAAAGTATGGGTGAGTTTTTAAAGTTAATTTACACTCTTTTTTTGTTGTTGTCAAACTGTTAATTTATACTATCTATGTTCCCAAAAACATGATGTTTTAGGTTTTTCACACAAATTAAAAAAAAAACAATTTTCATATATCTTATTAGTTTCATAATATTAAAACCATTTTCTTAGTTGACAAATAACATTAATAATGAAAATGATACAAACCATTAATCTTTATGGAACAAGAAAAATTCAAAAAATCATTTTTTAGTTTACACAATATGAGCCCCTAGAGGTCATTAAGATTTTATGTAATATCTGTTTTTTCATAATCTATCTATCTTAATTCTAATATTTAAGGCTTAATTTTTATATAATATTTATTATTGTTGTTATCTGTATATAATGATTTACCTTTTATCTGTATATAATGATTTACCTTTTTTTCTTGTTCTTTTTGTGTTCCATGGGAAACCAAGATGGTGAATCACATTTTATTGATGGAACATCAATTTCAATTATTGTGTCATTTTTTACAAATTGGGAAAAGAAAACGTACTGCTTGCTGTCTTCAAAGCTTTTAGTTTTAATCAAACCACCATTACATATGCACTATTTATTCCCACAATTCCCTCTAAGAATTAATAACTTCGTACTCTGTATAGATACATAATATAATGTCTTTATTTGATCAGTAGATCTCAAATGACTTTAGTTCTGTATTCATTATTGAATGTCCAAAGACTCAATCGTTATAGATAGCATAGCACATTTGACACTATTATACGTACAGTTCTAATTCAAAGATCTAAATGTGCGAAAATGAAAATGACAAGAAATATATAGTTAGGGATGCAATGGAATATGCAAAAAAAGGGAAAGGGAAAACTAGGCACGCTTTGTCCCAAAGAAAGGACCAACTTCGATATTTGTTAAGAAACTCTTATGGTAACACCATCATGCCATTTCCCACTACCATCAACTATCATCATTCCCTTTTCACACACACACACATATATGTATATAACTTTGTCTATGTATGTAATCTCATTAATTAGGTTACACATATAATCCTATACTATACCCAG